CAGAGCCTCAAGCTGTCACCCTGGGTGGAGTGCTGTGGCATCACAGCTTATAGCAACTCCCAACTCCTGGGCTCAAGCGATTCTGCTGCCTCCACCTCCCAAGTAGCTGGGACTACAGGCACCTGCCACAATGCCTGACTATTTTTTGGTAGCAACCGTCATTGTTGTGTGGCGGGCTCAGGCTGAATTCGAACCTACCAGCTTAGGTGTATGTGGCTGGTGCCTTAGCTGCTTGAGCCACAGGCACTGAGCCAAGAATTTGCATTTTTATTTTTTATTTTTTTAATTTAATTTTTTTATTAAATCATAACTGTGTACATTAATGCAGTTATGGGGTACAGTGTGCTGGTTTTATATACAATTTGAAGTATTTTCATTAAACTAATTAACATAGCCTTCATGGCATTTTCTTAGTTATTGTATTAAGACATTTAGAATCTGCATTTTTAATTAAATGCTCCAAATGATTTCTTTTGATCAGGCTGACAAAGCAATGCCAGAATGAATCCACATGTCAGGTTAAAAAGTAAGCACCCCAGGAAGCTGCAATGAACCATGTGTAATTTCAGTATTTTTAAAGGGTGAAGGAGAAGCTAGAGGAGGAGGGAAGTTAGGTACATGTTGATCACAGGGAATTATAGTGGGGCTTTGTAGAGAACTAAAGAGTACATATATAGACATAAGTTATAAAAATGGACTTTTCCAAAGAAAGTATATTAAAATAAGTTTGCATCAATAATTCCATTGTATTGTAATGCAATACAAATATGTATATACCTTATAGCAAGGGTCTAATAAGATTTACTTATATGCATTTTCCTTCCTGGAAAGTCTCTAAGAAATAAAATATCTTTATAATCAAATTCCTGATCTCTCTACATTCCAAATAACTCAGAGTATTATCAGCCTGCCCTTAACACCTCAAGACATTTTGGAAGCTGCTCAAGAATTTTTCTTTCCTGGAAAATAGCTTCCTTCTCCAGGACACAGCCCTGCCTGCCAGGGCTAATGATACTGGAGAGTAATGCTCACCCTATGCAGGGATTCACATCACTTCCATTTCTGTCATCCGAGGTTTTATGTAAAAATTCCCAACTCTCCTCTCTGCAGCCCCCACTTCTTTCACCACCCTAAAAAGAGCATCCCGTCTCTGGAGAGTCTCATATCCATTTCCAGGAAAGCAGACACGGACTGTTCACTTTACCCGGCACTCGCGTAGTGCCGGGGTTGCAGAGGGATCATGAGTGCCATCTGACTTCCACCATAGACCTGGGAGGTAAGTTGTGTTCTGGCCATTGTAAAAACAAGTCAACAGATATTCCTTTGAGAGGTCAAGGCAAGTCATGCCTGGGCAATGGCAGAGCTGGCCCAGGGACCCAGTCTCTGACTCCACAGCTCATGCTCTCTTTTCTCTACTCACATAGTATGATGTGTGTGTGTGTGTGTGTGTGTCTGTGGCTGGCGTAAATTCCACACCACTGGCCACACCTGCCTTCTGTGGCTAATTTGAAACATGCCAGAGTCTCACCTGTTGGAGACAATCCAGGAAAAGACACATTTCTGGTTGTTGTCAATCTCCATCTCATTGTGATTTAGAAATCGCTGCTGGTGCTCAAAGGCTCGAATAACGGGCAGACCTGACACAGTCTCACTGAAGTGAGAGTAGATTGGGGACCTGGTGACGGAGTCCAGACGTTTCAGCTGGCGGGAAGTGGCCACATAAAACATCTGGATAGAAAAAGTAATGAATCAGTCAGTCACACAATCACACCGCATATGCCATCCCTCCTCCTTCCTGGCTGTGACCCAGTGTTCTTCACCTTGATGGCCACAGGCCACATCTGAACAAGACAGAAGCCTGCAGTGTCACATCACTAGTGTCATTCATCATGCTAGAGGAAAGATCCGAGAAGTCAGAGGAAGAGAATAATGGGAAAACTGGGGTTGGTGGGAAACAGAGGAGGACAAAAGTGAGGAGACTGTATCATAGCCTTAGAGGTTTGAATTTCCAAACCACATGAGGAGTTTTGCCAGCCTGACCTACATCCACCCCCCAGATCTGTACGTTTCCTACAGGACAGTTTCTGTACTGGCTAGAGAAATGGTTTCTGAAGGGAATGTGCAAAAATAGCTGGAACTGCAAGGGTGTGAAGTGGAGTGGGTAGAAAATGGCCAGAAACAGCAAGCTGAGGGTTGGGTAAAAAGAGAGGTGTCAGTGAAGTGACCAAAACTGTGCCTCAGTGGTGTGTGTGATGGTAAAGAAGGGGGACTGGAGGATTAGAGGGCAGGCAGAGCCCTCTAGGGCAAGGCTTAGTGGGATGGGTTAGAGGTGCTACTAGGTTCTATAGGACTTGCTGAAACCTCGGATGAGCTGGGTATTTGAGAATCAGAATGCAAAATGTTACACATAGAAGTTTCCTCAGATAATCCTGCTTCTAATTTGTTGGTTTGTTTTTAAGGTCAAAAGGCCATCATGGGGAGGACCATAAACCTGAGAAACTCCACACAAATACCAAGGGGAGCCACCCTAGCACAGGCCACAAGGCCACAGCTGACTGTGGGGTCTTCAGGACTATTTCCTCCCTGTGAACAGTTCATCTCAACAGCAACTTGTGAGACAAGGGTTGTCCCCACAGCTTCTCCTCCCCATCTATTTCTCTTATAGGCATGGGGTTCCTTCCTCTTGTTTCAGGTTCTCTATGAGGCATGGCTCTCAAGCTACATGTTGCCTCAAAGAATACATTGGAACTGAGCCTAAACCAACCACAGACACTCCAGGGAAAAGAAAGCGAAGTGTCTCTCCTGCTGAGAGACCTCCCCAGGAAGATTATGCCAACTCAAAGCCCACTGAGGAAGCAGCCATAGCATGACTTTTCTAGAACTGACCTACTCCATTATGGGGGTTCTCAAGGAGCCACCAGACATTGTCCAGAGCCAATCTCAAAGCAGTTTTGGATCCAAACATATTACAAATCTATCCCACTTAAGCTTTTAGAGGGTAGCAGTTAAGGCGAGGGTTGCTGTGAAAGGTACACCAATTGGTGCTAACACTTCAGTTTCAGACAGAGGTCTGTGGTCTCCTTGGTACATCAACACATGATTATATGGCCAAGATGCCAGAGAGGAGTGAACAACTAGCAGTAAATGAAAGGGAAGATTCTCAGGAAGGAGCCTGGGCTTTTATAAGGAGAGAGGAAGGAAGGCCTAGCCATTTCCAAACCTACCTGAACAGACACATAAATAATGCCAAGAGGAATGATGACAACAATGAAGATGGGGGTGGCCATGCAGATCATGACAAGGGTGCTAATTATCCCCAAGAAGCATAACATCCAGCTGCGGAAGGACATAGGAAGGGTGTCGTCCACTGTGGAAATATCCTAGGAATACAAGTAGGAGAGATGAGCACCAAGGTCTTCTTAAGATACTTCATTATATCTTCCTGGTTCCAGCAGGGAAGCTGTTCTATTCTGTGTGTTCCCAGTAACTCTTTCATTTAATAATTTCATGATATTTATTTGCAATAGACTGTACTGCTCACTCCAATAACCAATCTCATTTCTGTAATTTCTCCATTTTTCATAATCCCTCAAATAGATGTGGCAATCATCTTTAACCATTTTTAATAGATTTGGTAAAGGTTTTAACTCTTCTCTGTGAAATCATCATTTGTCGAATTTATGAAACCATAATCACTGTAAACTAATAGAGCCCTACAGGTAAATCCTGTCATCATGAAGCCAGTTCAGTTATTTTAACTTGACACAGGTCCTAATTCCCTTGAGTACCTAGATGGGCCTGGCATATAATAAACATTCAATAACATTTGTTTGAAGGCCCTAGTCAACAAGCCCTGTTCCCTATCCTTGATTGAAAAACAATCTTATACCCAAGAAGTTGTTTCCTTTGCCAAACATAGAGCTTGAAGGGAAAGGGAGGTTGTAATGAATGTGAGCCCTGCCTGGATGGTGTTCCAACCAAGGAATCCAGATGTGACAGATGGGTCTTACTGCCATATTGCCTCATGTCGCATGAAATAAATGAACAAATAAGAAAATTAATGAATGGATGGATAGATTGGAGCACCCTCAGGAAGTCTGGCTTGTATTTGGGGTCACCCTTGCCTAGATTTCTTAGAGGATTGTATCAATTCTATAGTTAGCAATATATGAGTCCAAATTATCTCTGGAGTTCCTCAAACTGCATCAGGGGTAACAGTCTTCCAAGAGAGAGCTCCAAATCATGAATGATTCCTGAATCTAATCTACCTTTCCCAAAGTCACATCAGACTGCAAATAATGGTATCCAGAATTGGCAGAGAAAAGAAATAGTTATCAGTTCTATGCAGATTATTCTAAACCCTTACCTAGCACAGATTCTCCATCTTTCTTTCCTCCACTCCACCTCCTCTTAAGGACTCAGCCATTGACCCCTTTCATCAAACTCCCTTTAATAGTCTAAGCCACCTCTCCCACAAAACTTACTATATGATTAATGACAGTTTCTTTTTTCACACAAAAGTAGTCAGCAAAGTATGACAATTGCCTAAGTAACTCACAGGAAAACCTCTGTGTTCTCTTTTCCAGAAGATTATACAGATAATAACATGGGAAAATATTATATAATCTTTGCAAAATTCCCATGAGAAATTTCTTCATCCAAATCATGTGCTGGGCAGTGCCTGTGGCTCAGTGGGTAGGGCGCTGGCCCCATATACTGAGGGTGGCAGGTTCAAACCTGGCCCCAGCCAAACTGCAACCAAAAAATAGCCAGGTGTTGTGGGCACCTGTTGTCCCAGCTACTCAGGAGGCTGTGGCAGGAGAATTGCCTAAGTCCAGGAGTTGGAAGTTGCTGTGAGCTGTGATGCCACAGCACTCTACTGAGGGCGATAAAGTAAGACTCTGTCTCTAAAAAAAAAGTCATGTGTTCTTTTAGGTTCCATTAAAGAGTTGAGAATGTATCAAATTGGTTCCAGTGACATCATGCCCACCATTTCTGCCACAGAGGAAGATGACAAATATGGACCAGTTACCCGCCTACTTTTGGAGCAGTTACTATAACCCCAGAACCTGGCTATGGGCCTGTGAGTTACATTTTCCGTTTTTGCTCCAGAGCCAAACAAATAAAGGTCCAGAGCTACTCAGACATTTTTAAAAAATGTATTCTCCATAAGCAAAGGACTAAAAATTGTGCTGATAATAGTTGAATATCATTCAGAATTCTCTGATCTCTGCTTCTGTTCCTGAAACTTCCATCTCAGATGTGCTAAAAATGTACAAGTTAGGTCTGGCTCATGGAAGAAAGCCACCTATGATATTTACATTTATTTATTTATTTTTGAGATAGAATCTCACTCTGTTGCCCTGGGTAAGTGCCACAGTGCCATCATAGCTTATAGGAACCTCAAACTCTTGGGCTCAACTGGTCCTCTGTCCTCAGCCTCCTGAGTAGCTGGAGGTACTTGTCACAACAACTGGCTAGTTTTTCTATTTTTAGTATAAATGGGGTCTTGCTCTTGCTCAAGCTGGTCTCAAACTCCTGAGCTTAAGCAATCCTCCTGCCTGAGGTTCCTAGAGTGCTAGAATTACAGGTCTGAGCCACCACACCCAGCCTCCCTTTTGCATATATATATTCAGTGCCCCAGTGCCTAATACAATACTTGGCTCATAGAAAGTGCTCACTAAATGCTGTTGAATGAACATGTGAATGTGAGAATGAATGGCAAGTCTTCCAGGATCAGTGGTAGCTGCAAACAACGTTTGAGAACCTGGTTACAATCACAGAAGAGGTCGATGCTGTGCATTCCTATATCCCCAGAATCCTTGGGACCCCACAGGAGGTGCTCAAGAAGCTTTTACATGCTGACTGGACAAAAGAACTAGAACTGAACAGTGTTGTCTAAGGGGACATGAGAATCTCTCCTTGTTAGAAAGAGAAATATCCTCAGTATATGAACATACCACCTTAAGGCCCTTGAGATACTTACACCAGCAAACCTGTTCACAATCCGACCTGTGGGTGTTGTGTCAAAAAATCTCATGGGTGCTAGAAGGATATTGTTCAGCAGTTGCTTATGCAAGATGTTTGATGCATGAGTGGAACCGTGGACACTCCAGAGATTTGCTATGAGCACACATATACCTAGAAATGAAACCAGTTTTGTCAGTACCATGCACAGAGATCCCTGAGGGCTCCATGCCCAGGACATAAAGGCAAATGCTTTCCTGGGTGCAGGAAAAGTACAAGGTCTAGGCAGATTCTGGGAGATGGCCACCATAGCCATAAGACATACCTTGTGCTGCTCCCAGAGCTCCATAGACTCCAACTCTCAAGTCTCTCTGAGAGGCTGGATAGTTGGTACTGTTGTAGATTTTAGAGTCACTGGTCCAAGCACTGAGCCAGAAATTGGATCCAATAAAAGCCACAGAATTCATCACAAAGCCAAAGATGATGAAGAATATTGAACACCATCCCATTGCTCGTAGGTACTTCAAGTAGACCGAGAACTTCACCTGCAAAGCCCCCACCTCAGTATTAGTAGAACTCCCTCATGGCTTTTGATGAGGAATTACCTGGAATGCCAATCACAAGGAGTGGAATGCCTGGAAATGTGGGCAGCAGTTAGCAATATTTGGTAGTCTGTGGTAGTCTGCACTAGGCTAGGATGGATAATAGATTAATGCTGAAATATGGTACAGGATAAATAACCTTCAGGTTATTCATGAGCTTCTAGAGGCAATTAAGAAGGGAAGATATAAAAACAGAGTGAGCCAGATGCAGTGGTCGGTGCCTGTAATCAGCTACTTGGGAGGCTGCGGTGAGAGGATCATTCGAGCCTAGGAGTTTAAGTCCAGCCTAGGCAACACAGTAAGAAATTGTCTCTAAAACAAACAAACAGCATGGAAGAGATGATGGGGTTATATTGCAGATCTTGGAACTTGTGGTTTTAAGTTTAATTAATTTGAATAGTGTGCTCAAGGTCTGATATATAAATACTCCCTGGCTCCGAGAATTGTATACCGGAGCAATTGTTCTCCACTAATCAGAATGACATCAAACACTCTGGAAGTGTGGGATAGGCTCGGTGCCTGTGGCTCAAGTGGCTAAGGTGCCAGCCACATACACCTAAGGTGGCAGGTTTGAATCCAGCCCGGGCCCGCCAAAACAACAATGAAGGCTGCAACCAAAAAATAGCTGGGTGTTGTGGTGGGCACCTGTGGTCCCAGCTACTTGGGAGGCTGAGGCAGGAGACTCGCTTGAGCCCAGGAGTTGGAGGTTGCTGTGAGCTGTGAAGCCACGGCACTCTACCCAGGGTGACAGCTTGAGGCTCTGTCTCAAAAAAAAAAAGGAAGTGTGGGATAAGGAAACATGTCATTCTTCATGAAAATATGATTTGATAAAAATCCCACAACTTTTGCTAACATTTTAATAATGAATTAGAAGATTTGCAGAGGACATAGGACATATTGTTCCTGTAGATGTTGGGGGGCCTCACGAAGCCACACACAAACCCTTTTCCCCTCCTCCTCCTCTTCCATTCCTCCTAAGAAAAAGACACAAAGGATCTGCTTAGCCTCACTCCCCAGAAGTTTGCAACAAAAGACCCTAGCCTGAAGGCAAGCTGTGGAATGTGCCCCTGCCATGACCCCATATAAAAGAGGTCTCTAATAGTGACCCCCAACCCCCACTCCGTGCAGATGCATCTTTGCACTGCCCATGCTGGTCACTCTCCCCTTTCAATAAACCTGGTCTGAACATCTTCTCTGGGCCTTTCAATAGATGTGTATGCAAGTCACATCTAATTCTTTTTGTTTGGTTGGGGTTTTTTGGTGGTGGGGGGGGTGCATAGTTTCACTTTGTTACCCTTGGTAGAGTGCTATGGTGTCATGGCTTACAGCAACCTCAAACTCTTGGGCTTAAGCCATTCTCTAGCCTCAGCCTCCTGAATAGCTGGGACTACAGGCGCTTGCCACAATGCCTGGCTATTTTTTAGAGATGGGGTCTTGCTCTTGCTCAGGCTGGTCTCCAAGTGAGCTTAGGCAATCCACCTGCTTTGGCTTCCCAAGTGCTGGGATTACAGGAGTGAGCTACCGCGCCCAGCCCCAAGTTGCATCTAATTTTATAATTTGTGAATTCCAAGCCTTACATCATCTCAAATGCTATTTTAATTTTTTTGTGGTGTTCACCTTTCCAGTTTCCATGAATTCCTTCTCAATTAGTTTTTGTCCTTTCACTTCTTCCTTCTCCTTCAGGATGTTACCATTCTGAGTTTTCAAGGAGTTTTTCAGGGACTTCTGATGCCTGCCACTGGACCTAGAATTGAGAGATGGAGAGAGGGAAGCGTCCCTGAGCATGTAGACACTACTGAGGGACAGTGACACTGACAAGCAGATGTCACAATCACTTAGCATCAAAGCACATTTCAAGGCAGATGGCCACGGGAAACTGACACAAACCCAACCCTTCCCTCCATACAAGGAACCAAAGGAAGAGCTGTAGTGTCCAAGATGTCCACTCTTTCAGGAAAAGCCCATGGAGAAAAACATAAAAATCAAATGGAAATACGGAAGTGATGAGGGCTGCCAGCTGAGCAGGTGACCAACCTGCGGCTAAGTGATCGACGGAAGCTGTTCTCTCTTTTCATGGTCATGGAGGCTGCGTCTTCAGGGATTTCTTCTATACTGGACACTAGCCCATAGTCATCATTGTCTTCTTCTTCACTGCTATCATTGACTAGGGAGGCATGTCAGAGGTTAGAGAAATGGCTGCACAGAGCTCCCACAGCCCTACCAACAAAGAGGGAGAACTCTGCTGATCTTTCTGGCTTCAGCAAGGACCCCAGATGTACACATAGCCTGGGGTATTTGACTCTATAAATACTAATGTAATATGTACTAATCTAGTATGTACTAATACTAGTTAGCACATCATCTTACTGAGAAATACTGTAATAAAAAAGAGATGGGTTACTATCCCACGGGAGGATAAAATGGTCAAAAAGGAAAAGAAAACTCGCAGAAACTTCTAAGTTCCTTTTTTTTTCTTTTTCTTTTCCTTCTTTTTTTTTTTCTTTAGAGACAGAGTCTTACTTTGTCACCTTTGGTAGAGTACCATGGCGTCACAGCTCACAGCAACCTCCAGCTCTTGGGCTTAGGCGATTCTCTTGCCTCAGCCTCCCGAGTAGCTGGGACCACGGGCACCTGCCACAATGCCCAGCTATCTTTTGTTGCAGTTTGGCCAGGGCTGAGTTTGAATCTGCTACCCTCAGTATATGGGGCTGGTGCCCTACTCATTGAGCCACAGGTGCTGCCCTAAGTTCCTTTTAGAGTATATAAGAGGATTATGGTAGACAAACAGAAGAGTCACCATTCCAAGGATTGACCAAAGAAGTAATTGTAAATTGAAGATGCTCATCATGAAGTTCACATAATGTAACACATTTGTATTAATTAAAAGGATTTATAAGACATCTCTTAAAAATAAAATAATAGTAAAACAAAGTGGGACATCTGTGGGAATGATAGAATAGGGACCTCCAGAGATACACTCCTCCACAAAAATAATGAGAATACTGGCAAAAGGAAAGGTCAAAATCAGCTTTTTCAGAACCCTAAAATTAACCAAAGCCTTATAACAATCCCAGGAGCATTCTTTTTTTTTGTTTTTGAGACAGAGCCTCAAGCTGTCACCCTGGGTAGAGTGCCATGGCTTCACTGCTCACAGCAATCTCCAACTCTTGGGCTCAAGTGAGTCTCTCGCCTCAGCCTGCCAAGTAGCTGGGACCACAGGCGCCCGCCACAAAGCCTGGCTATTTTCTGGTTGCAGCCATTATTGTTGTTTGGCGGGCCCGGGCTGGATTCGAACCCGCCACCTTAGGTGTATGTGGCTGGCGCCTTAGGGAGCATTCATTTTTTAAAAAGAATGACTGAGGCCAGGTGCAGTGGTTCAGCCTATAATCTCAGCATTTGGGAGGCCAAGGTAGGTGGATTGCCTGAGCTCACAGGTTGGAGACCAGCCTGAGCCAGATTTTCATCTCTTAAAATAGCCAGGCATTGTGGCGGGCGCCTGTAGTCCCAGCTACTTGGGAGGCTGAGGCAAGAGAACGCTTGAGCCCAGAAGATAGAGGTTGCTGTGAGCTGTGATGCAATGGCACTCTACCAGGGGCAACAAAGTGAGACTCTGTCTCAAAATAAATAAATAAAATTAAAATTTAAATAAAAGGCTGAAATTTGGTAAGAACAGTAATCTTGGTGGTGATTTAAGATACATATTATTTTCATCCCCTTCTCCTTAGTGGCTATAGCCATGAGAACCAGTGACCCAGAAGCCACTGGTGGGGGCAGATTGGGTTCATTCCTGGAGAATTGCCATAATCTCACCTCTACAGAATTCCCTGGAAAACCCTCACCACAGGACCTGTCTTTATTTGCCCTAACCTGGAGCTAGTTCAAACAATCAGCAGCAGTTATGTAACATCACAGCTGCCTGAGGTGGTGAAAACAGATGGGACAAATCATAAGCTGACCAAAAACTTAAAAGGAAAAGCTGGGGAATTACATGTCCACAAGAGATAACTCTGATACATTCCTGCCAATCTAGACAGGCACACATATATGTAACCACAAGCCAGAAAAGACTGGAGAAGGCCCTAGTCTCTCACTGCTGGGCTGACCACGTTACTCTCTATAAGTACGAAGCAAGGACTAATGCAGAGATGTGAATTTCTGGAGCATTTGGGCCAATGTCAATGCCACTTACCTTGCCCTCCTGCCCTTCTCTTCATTCCACCAAGTCCCAAGTCCCAAGTCCCATAACAAAACACAACCCAGAGCTAGGCTCTGGGGCTTATGAAACTTCTCGGAAATGTCCTCTCAATATTTACCAGAACAAAGGCTTACAGGGCCATGTTGCAAACTATCTTTTGTACACAAAACATAGGATTTTTCAAAGGCGGTCATTTACCCATGGGGGTTTATAGCAGAATCCTGAAATGCAGATCCAGGCAAATCAGAAAAAAGTGTTTAGAATTAGCATAAGAGGCTCAGCGCCTGTAGCTCAAGTGGCTAAGGCGCCAGCCACATACACCTAAGGTGGCGGGTTCAAATCTAGCCCGGGCCCACCAAACAACGATGGCTGCAAACAAAAAATAGCTGAGTATTGTGGCGGGCGCCTGTGGTCCCAGCTACTTGGGAGGCTGAGGCAGGAGACTTGCTTGAGCCCAGGAGTTGGAGGTTGCTGTGAGCTGGCTGTGATGCCACAGCACTCTACCCAGGGGGACAGCTTGAGGCTTTGTCTCAAAAAAAAAAAAAAAAAGAATTAGCATAAAAAAACTGCCCAGGTGGTGGTGATGTGCTTGGCTGAGCAATCCTCTGGATGATCAAACATTAGACATTGCCCTTTGCTTGGGAACTGCACTCTCTACTCCGGCAGATGCCTTTTGCTTTCTCCAGGCCAGTACCCAGAAAACATAAAGCCTGGTAAAAGGCTTCAACTCTTGCTGGGCGCAGTGGCTCACATCTGTAATCCTAGCACTCTGGGAGGCCAAGGTGGGTAGATTGCTTGCACTCAGGAGTTTGAGACCAGTCTGAGCAAGAATGAGACCCCTGGGTGTGCGCCTGTAGTCCCAGCTACTCAGGAGGCTGAGGCAAGAGAATTACTTGAGCCCAAGACTTTGAGGTTGCTGTGAGCTATAATGCTACAGCACTCTACTGAGGGCCACAAAGTTGGACTGTGTCTGAAAAAAAAAACCCCGTTGACTCTTTTACTTCTTCTGGTCCCTGATCCCCCTGCCCCAACTGCCTGGTCCCTATTACCCCACACCATCCTGTTGTTTGTTCCTGCCCTGTTTTCTTTCAGACTCTTGTACTCCCCAGCATGGTTTTAAACCATCACACACCCTGACCTCATAGTCAGAATATGCTTCTATCCTGACTATCTCTAGAATGTCCCTGTATGTGCTTGATCTGCTTTCTTGGTGACTGCCTGCCTGGTGACCACCACCTGAAGCTGCCAACTGGCCCTATGCACAGAACTACTGCTAGCAGATCCTTGGGAAGGGCTGCAGTAAACAGGGCTCCATGGCTGCTGTTCCTATGGTATATAGTGAGACTGTGCAATTGCTATGATTTTTTTCTGGTTCAGATGCCAGGGGTTTTGGTGTATTAAACAAGATACCTTTAATAGGACTTACCAAGAATTTAGAATTATACTATTAGTACCAGTTTTAATGGATTTGGGGTAGTAGTTGGGGTGTCTATCATATGTGACTAGAGTCAATAGGAACATGGCATTCCTCAAAGAGGGACCTTGTGCCACTGGTGCTCCTCCCACAGGGTTCTTCACCCAAACCTTCAAGCACACCCTTCTAAAAAATATTCTTTGATGGCACATCAGACACCAGATGAATAGGATAAGCCACCAGTTCAGCCCAGGCAGAGAGTTTCAATTTCTGAGTGTTTGTTTTGTTTTTTTTTTTTGAGACAGAGTCTCAAGCTGTCGTCCTGAGTAGAGTGCTGTGGCATCATAGCTCACAGCAACCCCAAACTCTTGGGCCCAAGAGATCCCCTTGCCTCAGCCTCCCAAATAGCTAGGACTCTAGGCACCTGCTACAACACCCAGCTATTTTTTGGCGTAGGCTAGATTTGAACCTGCCAGCTCCAGTGTATGTGGCTAGCACAATAACTGCCTGAGCTACAGGCACCAAGCCATTTTTTCTGGGTTTCTTTACAGAGACACAGAATATGGAATCTGTGAGTTGGATTAGTTCACTGGATGCTGAACAGTTCAGAATGGTTTCCTGCCCCACACTCTAAGTTCTATCCTGTTCCAATCCTTCTTACATACCTGTGGCTTCCCCTTCAGGATCCGCATGTTTTAGGAACATCTTCAGATTCTTAGCAAATGCTCCTTTCTTTGCCAACAAATCACTGTAGGATCCTTTCTCCAAGATGGTGCCATTCCCCAGAACCACGATCTGATCCATTTGGGGCAGAAAGTGAATGCTATGTGTAACCAAGACTCGAGTCTGTAAAAATAACATTAAGCTGTGTTAACTATGTCCACCCTTTTCCCTGGCATACTCTAAAAAGAGAAAAACAGACATGTCCATCCACTCTGGAGTTTTGCTCCAAAATGTGGCCTCAACACATGGCCTATTTTACTTCCTTTCCTTCCCAGAACCTCATGGTGAAACCCAACTCTGTGCATGAGATGAGACTCATCACTGCAGATCTACTCAGTTACTTTCCTACAGTGACAATGAGGTTTGCCCTACACACATTCTCCTCCACATACCTGGGTAGCCACTGGTTGGGCTTAGGAATGTCATCTGAGATCAAAGCCTATCAATATAACGACTATACAAAACTAAATAGCAAACTAACTGCCCCATTCACTTAATTGAACTAATATGACCTCCCTAGATTCTTTCAGCATGTTAGAGGCATTATGGGACAAGAATATTTCTTCCTGATATCAGAAACTTGTCATCCCCTGTATTTCTGTCTATGGACTCCTGAGACAGGAGCTTCAACAAAAGACAAACAATTACATGTCACTAATAAGGTTCAGTTAGGTACTGAACACTTAAGCCGGGCTTCTGGAGAGAGGGCCTAAGCTCACTGCCTCTGCTCACAGCCCCAGAGAGAGTAAAACCCTCTTATCTGGAATATCCATCCAGGAGATGCTCATCCTTTAAGTTTCAGCGCAAAGCCAAGTCTCCTTGTGCCTTTCCTCAGTCCTCAGGCAAGACTTGGGCATTCCGCCAACATTCCCCATAGTTTGTGTAGACTACTATTAAAAGAACTCCTTCCATACTTCTGACCTGATGGCTACAAATTGGGGGTTTCCATAACCCTCCCCCCATCAGGTTCCATAATTTGCTAGAATGGCTCATAGATCCCAGGAAAGCACTTCACTTGTGTTTACAGTTTGCTTAAAAGGATACAGCTCAGGAACAGCCCAATGGAAGAGATGCACAGGGTAATGGGGTGGCAGGAGGTAGGGAGCTTTCAGAACCCTCTCCACCTACACTACCTCTCAGTACCTTGAGGCGTCCACTAGCCAGAAAGCTGCTCAAATTTCATCGTTCAAGAGTTTTTATAACCCAGTTTCCAGTCCCCTTCCCTCCCTAGGGGTCAGTTAGATAGAGCTGAAGGTTCTAACCCTTTGATCCCTTGTTCTTTCTGGTGCTCCTCTCCCGGCTGAGACTATCTAAAGCTCCTACTCTAAGTCACACATTAGCGTAAAGTGTGATCCAAAGGGGCTCATTATGAATGACCAAAGGCACTCTTATCACTTAGGAAATTCCAAGAGTTTTAGGAGCCTGTGCCAGGAACTGAGGACAAAAACCTAAATATATTTATTATAACCACAGGTCCAAAAGTACTTTTTATCATAAGCAATCAACCTAAGAAGCTCAATGTTAGTGCCAGGGAATAGGGGTCAAATTGGCCAGTTCCTGCATGAGCCATGACCTCGTGATGGGAGCTTCATGGAGTGGTCTCCTAGGAGACCAGTCCAACATGGTATCACCTAAGAAGCCCAGGGTCCAGATAAATCAGGAACTCTGCTTCAACACAACAGCTGTCCTGAGGGATGTGTGTGATCCTTTCTTTCCTTCCCACCCCCATCCTCATATCTTCATCACTTTTTTTTTTTTTT